CTCTCTCTGCCCTCGCCCCAACTCACACTCACTCTAAAATAAAAAAAGATAATTAAAAAAAAAAAAATAAAGAAAAAACTGACGTTCAAAACTAATGTAAAATTAAATGCCTGAGGTCACATAATGGCCATATTTGCACTGCCAAGTTTCAAACCCAGGTGTTTTAAAACAAAGTATAATGTGAGCACTGCTATACCACACCTTTCTTTCATACCGATATAAAAAAGGGTTCTGTTACTCTCTTAAACTATGCAAACCTCGTATTCACAAGACTTTTATCATCAATGCCAGCCTGCCAGTCAGAAATAAGATAATTAGGACTAGTATTCCAAGTCACATTAAATTTATTTTTTTAAGGCAAAAACTTCCAAGATTTGTTTATATTAAAAAACACCTTTAAAAGTTTTCACAATGTTTTTGCAATTGTTTAATTTTTTAAAACCACATTTGCCAAAAAAAAAAAAAAACAAAAAACAACTCTACACTTGCCACACATATTGCCAAAAGCTAAAGCTAGTAAGATAAGCTTAACATTAAAATTAGTAACATTAAAATAAATGTTAAAATAAATTACTACAACATCAAACAGATCTTATTCAAATATGTAAATAATTCATTTCACCTACAAGTTTTATCTGTAAGAGTTTTCTTCACTATGTATTTCCGCCTATAGATTTTTCTGAGCTTGTTATGTTTATTTTACATAGATGTAGATTAGCATACTATGTTGTGGCCTACATTAACACACTACCAGTTGGAAAAGAATGGCCTCCAACAAACTATCACTATCTCTCTTCAATTACTGGCTGTGAGGTGCAACAGCTAGGCACCAAGAAGGATACAATATCCTTTCTTCAATCTGGAAGTCTCCATTATCTTTCCATTATCAAATCTGGGCTACACATTCATCAACACCGCACAGTTGTATGTGCATGAGCACTGCACACGAGTTAATAGCTATAACTGTATCCACCGGCCATTTGATGCTTTACGGTGAAGAAAAAGCCTACGGGTGATTCTATACAGCCTCTAGGCAATGTGGGAGAGAGATCCACCATCTCCAGCACTAGATAATGCAGATGCCCCTTTCCTGCTTCTAAACTGCTTCTCCTCTCCCTCCCTTAACTATATTACTCGTATTACACATTGGGATAGCACTGTGAAAATACAGTAAATTGTCTATACAAGAGGCTATGGAATGACATACATCATGAAGTTTCCCAATGAGGTTGAATATTCTTACCTTACTTCTAACAAGAAAATCTGACATTCATTTTTCTAAGCAGAATGTACTTTTTATAGCTCTTGATTATTATCAGAGTTATAAGTCCCAAATTGGATTTTACTTGAATAGTTTCTATTTTCTTTTTTTACTTGCATAGTTTCTGATTTAAATTGGTCCTAAATGAAACTTTTACTGTTTTTAAGTGTTTGAAGACTCACAAACCCACAAGGAAATCCGAACTCTTCACCAAAGCAGTCCCTACATGTATCCTACACTCCAGCTGATTTGAAACCAGACTGCAGTTTTACCTTACTTTCTCAAACACCCCAATCTTTGAGTCATTTATCTCTTTTCAATTCCATTAGAATGCAAACTTAGTAAGGTAGAGGCTTTGTCTAACTCACCACTGCTTCCCGAACACCCAGATAAATGAGTGGCACTCAATAGTTGTTGAATGCATGAATGACACAACGTCCGTGTCCTTCATTTCACACTTGCTTTATGATTCCTTGGTTTTAATCCTATGTTTATATCCTCTTTCCTCAACTAGACTATAAGCCCCTTACAGACAGAAACCACCCCTAACACATCCTTGTATTTTTGGTCCCACAAAAATGTTCTCACACTTACCCTGTGATTTTATGTCCATAGTCACATATGGGAAACTCCCAAGGACAGCCATAACCTCCTCATATTTTTCATCTTCAAGGAAGTGCAGTAGATTGTGACGATCTGATTCTTTTAAACTCACCAAATCCTGGATAGTCTTAATTTTGTACTGAATTTTAAAAGAGAGAAGAAGAAAGAAAATAAATCCTAAAGTCATAGAATTTTTCACAAAAGGAAAATTAGCATGTTTACTAAAACAAAATCCAACAACTTTTAAAAAAATGTTAAGATTACACAGGGTCCCCAACTTACAATGGTTCTACTTAAAGCTTTTAAACTTTACAATGCTGCCAAAGCAATATGCATTCAGTAGAAACCATACTCTTGAGTTTTGATCTTGTCTAGGACTAGTGATATTTAATACAATATCATCATGATGCTGGGCAGCAGCAGTGAGCAATAGCTCCCAGTCAGCACGTGCTCACAAGAGTCAACAATCCATACACTTAGAACCACTCTGTTTTTCACGTTCAGTATTCAATAAATTATATGAGATAGATATTCAACACTTTACTATAAAACAGGCTTTGTGTTAGATGATTTTGCCCAAGTGTAGGTTAATGTAAGTGTTCTGAGCACGTTTAAGGTAGGCTAGGCTAAGCTACTGTATTTGGTAGGTTAGATGTATTCAATGCATTTTTGACTTAGGATATTTTCAACTTACAATCGATGGCTTTATGAGGATGTAACCCCACTATAAGCTGAGGAAGATCTACATACACATTTCAAAGCAAACAATACAACTTTATAGCATTTCATGGCCTTTTATCCAAGGAAATTCAAATTAAGAATTTTTTTTATTACAAAGTTAAAACAGAGTAATTTTTTAATTTTAGAAAAAATAAAGTTAGGAGGAAAAGACAGTAACATTCATAGACTCTTGACCCAAGCAAGAATGATTGTCATCTTCTATGCTCAGTTTGCTGACCCATATTTTCAATTTTAATGATAAAAACCTTTAAGAGTATGAATTTATCTCCAAGTGCAGCTGCATCCTTATGGTTTTACTATGCAATTTTCTCATTTTTGTTGTTCTCTAAATATAGCTGTTACTGCACTAATATCCATCTGGGCTAAAGGGATACTTAGCAGAGTGTTAATTTCCAGCCATTTGGTGCTAGTTAATTTTTACTTTTGCAGACAGGGATTAGATCATGAGGTGTGTGGAATGTCCACTTTTCTATTACAAAGTTTTCAATTAGAAATGTGAACAAATCAGGGCGCCTGCATGGCTCAGTCGGTTAAGTGTCCAACTTTGGCTCAGGTCATGATCTTGTGGTCCGTGAGCTCAAGCCCTTTGTCGGGCTCTGTGCTGACAGCTCAGAGCCTGAAGCCTGCTTCAGATTCTGTGTCTCCCTCACTCTCTGTCCCTCCCCTGCTCATGCTGTGTCTGTCTCTCTCTCTCTCTCAAAAATAAAGATTAAAAAAAATTTTTTGTTTTAAGTGAACAAATTTATAATTGCAATACAATTACCTGAAAGGACAGAAAACTCAAATGCAAATTTCTAATATACATTAGTTCTACCTTAATATATTATCAAATCCAGGGGCACCTGGGTGGCTCAGTCTGTTGGGCAGCCGACTACGGCTCAGGTCATGATCTCACGGTCTGTGAGTTCGAGCCCCGCATTGGGCTCTGTGCTGACAGCTCAGAGCCTGGAGCCTGCTTCCAATTCTGTGCCTCCCTCTCTCTCTGCCCCTTTCTTGCTTGGTCTCTGTCTTTCTCTCTCTCAAAACTAATAAACATTAAAAAAAATTAGAAAAAAAAATACCATCAAATCCAATGTCTGTCTTCTGCCCATTTTGTCTAGTGTATACAAAGCAATATTTAAAATCTCCTATCAGAATTATAATTTTAGTTTTTTTCTTGTATTTCCAAGTTTTTTCATTTATACATATTTTTGCTACATCTTAAGATTCATTGTTGGATCTTTACTACAGACTGCATTTTCTAAATAAGAAGCATCTTTATTTGATCTACTTATTTTTTGAAAACTTAATTTTTTTGTTCCTATTCAACCGATAAACCATTGCCCAACCTTTAAGCCAGATATTAATGACTAGAAAGCATACACTGCACTTCTACTTTGTATATTTATTTCTGGTAACATAATATAAGGAATAAAGTGCTAATTGCTAAAATATATTGGACCCCAAAGTAGTAAAATAACTTACAGTAGGTAAAAGATTATAAAACACCTACCTAATCAAGAAATTGTTAACAGAACTACTTGAGGGATAGTTTTAGAGTGTTTAAGATATTCTAAATCTAAGAAATTCGTAATAAAAACTTTTAGAACACTTTTCTCGTTATTTAAGTAACATAACAAACTGCGCAAAACAGATTTTAAAGTGGCAAAGAATTACCTTTTTATGATTAGAAACCCTTCTAAGATTGTCCTCTTCAATGTGAGGCAGCTGCAGAAGGGGAGACTTAAACTGCTGAAGGCCTTGCACAGCCATCTGGGAAAGCTTCATGCAGTTTTCTAGGGATGCCAAAGTTGGAGCACGAAACTCCCTTTCTTAGAAAGAAGAGGAGGAAAAGAAAAAACAAGGCTGGACTTTTTATACGTTCAGGAGTATATAATTCATCACTATAACATGATTCTTGCGACTATCCTTAACACCTCATATTTTAAGATCATAGTGCTGACTTTCCTTTAAAAGTTATAAGATACCAAAAATACACAAATTTGTTCAAATGCAATAATCATTATCCAGCAAGAAGCACTGATTTAACAGAAAAATTCTTTGCATCACTTCCACAAATAGCAAATTATCAGTATCAAATACTGACACCATGCCAAGAACTGACATCAGCCATAACAACAAACCACAACCATCATCTCCTTTCCTAAGAGTCTCCCTTTCCATTACTGACCACAAACTCCCTCATTCTTTTTCTTCCCCCTCACTCTTTTTTTCCCTTCATGTGAAAAACACTACATATCAGATAAATCATCGTTACGTCACTTAAAAGAATTATTTCAAACTCACTGTTAAAACACAGAATAACCTAACTCTAAAAATATTCAAAGGAAAGAAGAGGTATATTAAATATTTGCAAACAATAAGTGACAACAAACAATAAAACAATAAATTCAAAAACATGAGTTGTGATAAAGACTTTACATAATGGAAAATATAGGAAAGAAGTAAGAAAAACCATGAACAAAAGTGGGAAAGCTGACTCAACCTACGGGCAGAATTACTGTAGGTACTCATAAATCTTAGAACTATGAAGTGTAATCTGCATATGCTTGCAAGAAAAAGTACAACAATTAATTACATTTCCACCTCACCTTCACGACTTCGGGCCATTATTATTAGTTGGCAGATTACATTAACCATTTCTTGAAGTAGGGCAGGGCATTTTTTCAACATAAACTGCTGATCTGCAAAACAAGAGAAAACCTGAAACGAATCATTCTACTTTTACAATTATAACATCTTTATCATCTACAGTCCAAGACTAATACTAAATTTAAGTTGTCCCACAAATATTTCACACGACCTAATAAGAATTTTGCAGGCTGAAGTTTCTCCTAAGCAGCACTGTCAAAAATCAGTCAGAAAATTCTAGCTCAGATATGATGTTTCAAATTTTTAATATTACAAGTGTTGTGCTTTGTAAGTTAACTCCCTTGTTTGGAAGGAATAGTCTTAAACTTAATTCTAATCTTACTATATTTAAGAACCTTAAAAATTTTCTTCTTGTATACCTAAGTTTCTGTAACTATGAATAAGTCCAAAGACTAAAATTGATAGTGAATGTCAATTCCATGCAGAAAGAAGAGAGGGGATGATAAAGGGGAAGGAAAAGGAACGAGACAGAGTCATTTTTACTGCACCTAATAGCTAACTGTTAAGATCATCCATGGGGTTGGTACTCAACCTAAAAAAATATTTGTTCCCTGTTTCTTAGATAACTGGTAAAAAGGGAGATGGTTTTGTATCTGTACAGAACATTAGAATTACCAGTTAACTTGCAACTCCAATAACAATGCCTAAATAGAGATCCTTCATTCCATCTTAAGTATCCTATCTTATCATCAACCAATGATCATCAATTGGCCTTGTTTTCAAAGGCATTTGATTATATTATTGGCTTTAAAATGGCAGAGGAGGAGCTTCATTCAGAAAGAACATTTATTCCCGAAGGATAATAACTTTCTTTGAAAACTTCAAATGAAATCATGCAAGTAAAAAAAAAAAAGACAAATTCATGGTATTCCTGGAAACACCACTGTCCCAATCCACTACTTTTATTTATTTATTTTTATTTTGTTTATGTTTATTCACTCCCTGAGAGAGAGAGAGAGAGAGAGAGAGAGAGAGCGAGCAAGAGTGGGGAAGGGTCAGAGAGAGAGGGAGACACAGAATCCAAAGTAGGCTCTAGACTCTGAGCCATCAGCACAGAGCCTGACACGGGGCTTGAACTCATGAACCACAAGATCATGACCTGAGCCAAAGTTGGATGCTTAACCGACTGAGTCACCCAAGTGCCCCACTGCTTCTCTTTTAAATAGATAGGTGGCTGCAAATACTTAGGAAGCTTTAAATAAAGATTAAACACTTTATCAGCAACCACAGCTGGAAGTGGTGGTGGTAGTTGTGGAGCTGACTGAGGTATTGATTATGAAATCCATTTTTTCTTCCCCCCAAAAGCTTATAAAATCTTTTTTTTTTTTTAATTTTTTTTTTTCCAACATTTATTTATTTTTGGGACAAAGAGAGACAGAGCATGAACGGGGGAGGGGCAGAGAGAGAGGGAGACACAGAATCGGAAACAGGCTCCAGGCTCCGAGCCATCAGCCCAGAGCCTGACGCGGGGCTCGAGCTCACGGACCGCGAGATCGTGACCTGGCTGAAGTCGGACGCTTAACCGACTGCGCCACCCAGGCGTCCCTAAAATCTTTTTTAAAAAGTCACTAGGAATTTTTGTATAATCTGCAACTGACTAAACATTTTTCAGAGTATTCTCTCACCTTGAAATACTAAATTTTAACATTTGCCAAAATATCGGACTTAGACCTTCAAAATATCTGTGAATTATGTAGCATAAAGATTTCTTTTTAAAAGATCCTTGAGCAATTATTTGATTGAGCAAAAAAGAACAGCAACAAAAACATTGCACCATGAAATCTAATTAAATCCGTTGCTTTTGTACCATTAAAACCGTGCAGATATTAGAATCATAAATACCTTCTTCAAGGGTCTCAGGAATTTTCATTCTAGCAAGATGAGACAGTAAAAGAACTCTGGCTTTCAGGCTATATGGGCAGGTAAGTGGAGGCTCATTCTTCTTTAAATTAATGCTGCCAATTTCTCTGATTAGCTAGAGTAAATAAAATAATTATTAAAAATATCTACATACTGAAAAGCATTAACTTTAATACCTAAATGCTTATTATATCAAGGAATTTAGGACACAGGTCTAACCTGAGGTATTAGAATATTATCTGTTGGTCTGCTTGTGGCATCTTTGTTATACTGAGGATCAAATTCAGAGGCTCCAGCCAAAACCATGATAAGACCTAAGAAAACAAAAGAAATATAAAGGTAAACAAATAAACTTGCTCATCTATTAATTTCCTCTCCTAGGATACTTTATTAATGTAGAGTGAGGCAGTTTTCCAATTGCGCAAAAAGCTAAAAATCATCTGAACTCCAATACTAAGTATTCATTTCTCCAACAAAAAAGAAACATTTCACTTTTTAAAAAGTGTACAGTATTACTTATCACAAGTGAATAGAAACATACATTAAGGGCCCCAAAGCAACTGGATGCATTAAAATCACTTCAAATACCATCTGTTTCTAGATTTAAGCACGTGTTCCACAGAAACTTTCTACAGAGTAATTATTAAGTATCCCATACTATGTTAATAACTATTATGTGAACAAAGGGGGCTCTATGGTTAAACAAGACTGAGAAACAATGAGTTAAAAGAGTTTTAGGTTTCTTCGCTTGATGACTTCTCAGAACCTTAAGTAAACTGAAATACTCTATAATTTACAGAAATTTTTATCATGGAACCCTGAAGGGTTTGCGGGACATGTTCTTTGAAATACACATGATTTGCAGCTACATACACTATGAGCATTACTTGTTAGTCTATACAAGCTCCTTATTTTTTTAAATAATTTTTTTAAAATTTACTTATTTTGAGAACAAGAGAGGAGCAGAGAGAGAGGGAGAGAGAGAAAATCCCAAACAAGCTCCACACTGTCAGCACAGAGCCCAGTGCAGGGCTCGAACTCAGGAACCATGAGATCACGACCTCAGCTGAAATCAAGAGTCAGAGCCTTAACCAACTGTGAATCACCCAGGCGTCCCTATTCAAGCTTTTTAATGACTGGCACTATAGTCACCTATAGTCATCAATCTCACCTTCCAGCAGAAAATACATACCATGTGCTCACTAAAAGCAGGACAATGTAGAGCTTAAGGGCACAGACCCTGGAGTTTTCAGTTCCTAACTAAATGATGTAGGACAATATTCTTCACCTTTCTATGGGTCTCAGTTTCTCCCAATGTGCCTGACACACAGTAAGCACAGTAATATGTGTAAGCTACCGCTATCAAATGTTTTCATGAAAACAACTATTCCTGAGACAACTATGTAAACGATACCAACACTAAAGTAACCAAGGATATATAATCAAGCCCACCAGCTAAAAAATGCTTTTCTGATAGTACTGTATAAGGCTAAGTACCACACTCAGGAATAAAACAGAAATCAAGTTCACTGATGCAAAAAACACGTTAAAAGACATTATAAACATGAAACATTTTCATAAGGGGCTAAGTTTCCATATTAATATTTCAATCCAACATAAGGAAGAATGACATGTGTGCATAAGGGAGAGTAACTCACTCATTCCTCAGAAATAAAAGATCTGCTCACTTCTCAGAAATAAAAAATCTGTTCACACAGTCACATGACCCTGAGGAGTCTCTTTCTCATTACCAAAAAAATTAGTTAAACTGGCAAATCCAAAGTACAGACAAGTCCATTTAGGTTTTGGAACAAAAATGTATTCTCCAGTGAGACACAATTTAAAACTTTAAAACGTGTATCATCTCTTTTTTTTCCCAGAGGAAGAGAAGCAGGGCTTATCTATGACTGGTCTATGATTTCTGCAGAGCAGAGATTCTGAAAGGCAATAAACACTACATACTCCAAGGATAAAATTTACAGTGTTAGCTTTATGGAATCAAAGAAAGTATCTTAAATGGAACTTTTTTTTTGCTAAAAAGAAATTCTGAAGTAAGACTCTGGGAATGAAATATCCTGACAGTTTTCTTTCAGCATGCCCAAGACCTGACTTATTTTACTGAGATTAATACAGTGTAATGTACCGATTTAAGGCTTGGGAACCAGACTGCTTGAGTTCAATCCTGACTCTACCACTTAATATTTCCTTAAGCTCAGTTTCCCCATCTATCAAATGTGCTTAAAAACAGTAAAGATTAAATGAGTTAATATCTACATAATCCATAGTAACGCCAGGCATACAACAAATAAGAAATATTAGCTAGTAATATTACAAAGTTAACCCACATGAAGCTTTACCATAAAATTTGTAGGGTAAAAAACATATATAGCTGAGTAAATGGAAATAATAGAAATACATGTGATAAAGGGTACCAGCCACTTTCCTCCAGCTTTAGTTATATGAACTGAGTATAAAACTGTGAAATAAAAGGTTTCCAGTGGAGTATGTATCAACTCCAAATAAATGACTCAGAAAATAATCTACTATCACAGATACTTAAATTTACTCACGTTTCATATCCATATTTCGGGTTTTATAAACAAAGTATGTATAAATCTGTGTTGTGCGTATTAGAATCTGGTCTCCACTATAGCGTATTGAGCGATACCACCAAGAGCCCTAAAACACAAATAAAATTAAACCATAAGTAAAGCATCAAAACCACAATAAATATTAAGTCTAATGCAGAATATGTTACGGTCAAATTTCCTAAGCATTCATAAAACCAATAACAATACCTGAGCTTTAGAACAAATGCCTTTGTTACTTATTTCAAATTATTTAGCAAGTATTTATACTGCCCAACACCTAAACACCAACCCACCTCACTACATATGTATGATTAAACCATTTCAGTTTCAGCTAGAAACTGAACACAAAACAGAAACAAAACAACCCATCACTATAAAAGCAACAAGCTGGTTCCTGACACGCAGTATGGATTCAATAAATATTTGATAAGTGGAGGACAATTTTACAGTTGATATACTACTTTCATTCACATGACTCCATACAGCTGGATCCTCACATAATAAACCTATGAAGAAGGCAAGACAGGTTAATTATTAGTCTCACTATGGGACTCAGGAACTGTAAGATCAGAAAGAAAACCACCAGTCACAAAAGTAACAGTAAAATCATAAACTTTATGGTATTTCCATATTGACATATTATGCAGCTGTTTTTAAAAATGAGGTGTATCTCCAACATAGGAAGCAAAAGAAGTCACAGAATGATAGAGAGACCACATTTTTTTAAAAGTGTGTATGTAAACATAATCCATAGAAAAATATCTGAAAGGGAGAACACCAAACTTAGCAGTGATTATCTCTAACAAAGAAATGAAGTTGAGGGAGACGGTAAAGGAAAACATTTCAAACTCTACATATACCTGTATTATTTCACTTATATGTAACTTTTGTATGGGAGGAGATATACTTTCACATACTTAAATGATATCACCTTTAGAAAACCTTTAAAGTATAGATGAATAGAAGATTCTTAAAATTCAAGGATCAATGGATTATATTCTAATCAAATTATAGGAGGCTCCAAAGCACCCCACCAATTCCCTTTCCAAAAAAAAAGTTAATAAAAAGAGCTAGCACTTACCACAACAACTGGAAGGATAACCATGAATGCCAATCCATATACAAGTAAAACCTAGAATTGAAGAGAAAAAAAATTATGGCTTTCACAGGTAAATTATAAAAACATCCATGAACACTTACCTTGAGGCTTGCGTGGGGGAGGCACTAACAAAAGCACTCTTCAGGGAGCGTGGGTGGCTCAGTCAGTTAAGCATTTGACTCTTGATTTCGGCTGAGGTCATGACTTCAGTTACTGAGTTCGAGCCCCACATCGGGCTCTGTGCTGACAGCACGTAGCCTGTTTGGGATTCTGTCTCCCTCCCTCTCTACCCCTCCCCCATTTGCTAGCTCTTAAAAGAAAAATGAACTCCTAAAAACAAAAAAAAGCACTCCTCTTATATTATTTCATTTAATTCTTACTTCATTTTCAAATTTTTCAAAGCTACTGTTATTATTTTTCTTTTGCAAATAGAAAACCTGCAGCACACATAGGTTACAGGACTTGTCCTAGGTCACACAGCTAGTAAGTGGATTGGAATACAGGCATTTCAATTCTAAAACTTATGCTCTTATCCAATATAACAAGTCACCTTTTAATTTGCTCTGTAAATAATACCAGCAAAACAGCTTTTATAAATTATATTTTCCTTCCAGTCAGATACTTATAGCTCTACACGTTAGTAAGTAGTTAGTGCCTTGGAAATAAATGATAGAATCCTGGTTCCTTATCAAGGAGCAACTTCATAATGTTCTATTTACAAGTAATTTCTGTCTATTGGTCTTAGATTTTTCTCCTACTGCTTGATTCCAAATCTGGTAGCTAACTATCCTCTTCTCCAGTATTCCCACAGTAATCCTAAGCATGATAGACACACTTACACACAGAAAGCATATATCCCTAAGATAACAAATGTTTGTCAGCCATAAAATAACATTAAATAGCCATTTTCAAAACAAATTACAGACTATATGAATTCTTTTATTGCTTCAAAGATAGCTCCTAATCATTTTTAAGATATGTGAAATAGGGAAACATCTATTCCTGATACCCTACTGCCTCCCTAAGTACCATATGGAATATATATCATTAATTTAACATATATTAACATTAATTTCACATGGGTAAATGTGAAATGAAGGATAATTTAAATGTTGAGCACTACTTAGGATAGATACCATATAAAACCACAGTTCCCCAAACCAAGGAAATGACCCAACCTGAAACTACCTCCAAAAGAAATCACCACAGCTTTAAGGTTCTAAAACAACATTTAGAACACACTGCCCTTCCTCTGAAGAAAAACAAGCAAAAAAAATCCATACCGCCCCAAACAACAACCTAATAATGGGAACCAATTCTTTTCTTTATTATATAAAAAGTTTTCATAATACACAGTTAAATTAAAGACAGCATAACAGTATTTTGATATAGTTCTCTATAGTACTAAGATCTATCTAGCACATTATAATGTGTCCTATTTACATGTACTCACCAAAATTGAGTTTTTCTGGTCAACTATCCAAGCTGGCAGGGCAATTCCAAAGCTTGTGGCTAAAATAGGAAGAGTATTTCTGAAGAATCTGCACTTCCAATTTTATTTATATTTCAAAATTCTGCACCCCAACCCTTCCCCCCCCCAAAAAAAATCTTTCAGAAAGATTATATTATGTGTGTTCCCATTACAGAAAAGTCGATGGATTTTTCCAGAAGTGGGGGCAGGGGGGACTCGACCAAAGTATATGAATTCCTTCTTAGTAAATCTAAATTTTTTTATATGTCATTATGTAAACACTATGAATATATGATAAAATGTTTAAAGTCAGTAAAGAAAAAGATTGTTTTCATCCAACTTTTATCAACTGCTAATTGGAAATTAATGACAATGATCACTCTTCTCAATCTGAGTTCTATCTTTCAAACTGGCTGCTAGAAAGAAAAATAAAAATTAGCTAAAGGAAACTCAATTTACATATCGATTTAACTCCTTGAGGTTATAATTTTCCTATTCACAAACTAAGAATCAAAATATTCCTTTCAATCTATTAATATTTTCACTTAAATACACAAACACACACACACACACACACACACTATATCACTAGTAATTTTTGATTATTATTTACCACACCTTGAGGGCCATCTGGATTTCCAAACTCTTCCCAGTTTTTCCGGGACTCTTCATCAGTTAAACTAGCATTAAGAACAAAATTGCAAAATTAGAAAACCACATCTGCAAAGTACTCACATATACAAACTCTATTAATGAACCAACTCATTTGTTATAGATATTAATTTCAGGAAATCAAGAAAAGCCTCTCTGAAATCAGATAAAAAGAAAGAGAAGAAAGCAAGGAATTCTACATTAAAGAAAATGCTAACTATTGAGACTTTAGAGAAATTCCTGGTTGGCCTGTGGGTTCTGAAGTTTTGCCAGTTCAAGTTGGAAGATAAAACTTTAGAAATTTTCTAAGCAAGCAGGGAGGATTACAGGGACTTTTTTCTTATATCCTTATACATTTTCCAAAATTTCTTCAATGAGCTTTGCTTATACTTTAATAATATATACCTACTTATAAACCCACTACAAATTAATAATAATAATCCCTCCAAAACTGGTACCACATTCTCAAAAGAAAAAAATGAACACCTGGAAAATTCCAATGCTACAGAAAAGGTCATTTTGCATTGTGCTGAGGTCACAATTTTCTCCTAAAACAACTGCCAGAAGGACTAGGGAAAAACCTGCTGAAACAATGCTTTTCTAATCCAGCAATATAAAAGTGACAGAGTGATTTAAAAAAAAATTTTTTTTAATGTTTACTTTTTGAGAGAGAGAGAGAGAGCGAGCACAAACTGCGAAGGGGCAAAGAGAGAGGGAGACACAAAATCCAAAGCAGGCTCCAGGCTCTGAGATGGCGGCACAGAGCCCAACACAGGGCTCAAACTCCCAAACCATGAGATCATGACCTGAGCCAAAGTCAGACATTTAACCAACTGAGTCACCCAGGCGCCCCCAGAGTGATTTTTTTAACACCTAAAAAGAAATATAACCTTTGACCTGGGCAGTGGTCCAAGGCACAAAATGAGAGTGGTTTTATTTCAGATCCCAAAATAGATATTAAAAAAAAAACACTGAAAGAAATTTTCAATTCCTTCAAAAACTTTACGTTGTTAAGGAGACAAGGCAGACACACACAAAAATGACCAGTAAGATCGTAAGAAAGGCATTTTTGAAATCCATGTGGCAAAAGATTATGTTTATGTCCAAATCTAATTTTAACAGTATTTCTATTTCCCAGAACATATGCACATAGGATACAATGTAGTTTTCTATTCAACAAAGCTCCACAGTAAGAGAATGCAGAAGTACCTTTAAAAAAACAGCAACAATTTTCAAAGAGTTCAATTTTTTTTCACCTAAACCATAATTTCTATCTTTTATTATTTTTTTTTAAGGTAAGCTCTACACCCAATGTATGGGCTTGAACCCATAACCCTGAGATCAAGAGTTGTGTGTTCTACCAAATGAGCCAGCCAGGTGCCCCCCTATTTTTGTTTTTTTTAATTGAAGTATAGTTGACACACAATGTTACATTAGTTTCAGATATACAAGATAGTGATCTGACAAGTTTATACGTTATGCTATGCTCACCACTAACATAGCTACCATCTGTCTACACAATGCTATTATAATACCATTGACTATATTCTCTATGTTGTACCTTTTATTCCTTCTATAGTCTTCTTAGACTATTATCTATAAACTTATTTTTTCTATAACTGTAAGTCTGTATCTCCCACTCCCCTTCACCCATTTTGCCCATTCTTCCATCCCATTCCCCTCTGGCAACCTGTTTGTTCTCTATATTAATGGGTCTGTTTCTGCCTTTTGGTTATTCCTTTGCTTTGTTTTTTAAGTCCCACATATAAGTGAAATCATATGATATCTGCCTTTCTCTTTAGCATAATACCCTCTAGATCCAGGTCCATCCATGTTGTCACAAATGGCAAGATCACATTCTTTTTTATAGCTGAATAATATTCCATTGTATAAATGAATACCACATCTTCATCCATTCATCTATCAATGGATACTGAGTTGCTTCTATACCTCGGCTCTTATAAATAATACTGCAATAAACATAGGAGTGCATGTATCTTTCTGAATGAATGTCTTTGCCTTCTATGGGTAAAAACCCAGTAATGGGATTACTGGATCATATGGTATTTCTACTTTTACTTTTTTGAGGATGCTCCATACCAGTTTCTGTAGTGGCTGTACCAATTAACATTCCTACCAACAGTGCACAAGGATTTCTTTTTCTTCACATCCTCGCCAATACTTATTTCTTGTCTTTTTTATTTTAGCCATTTTGACAGGTCTAAGGCGTTACCTCATTGTGGTTCTGATTTGCATCTGCCTGATGACTAGTACTGCTGAGCATATTTTCATGCATCAGTTGACCATCTATATATATTCCTTGGGAAAGTATCTATTAAGGTCCTTTGCCCATTTTTTAAAAATCATATTGTTGGGTTTTTTGGTGTTGAGTTGCTAAGTTCTTTATATATTTTGGATATTAACCCCTTATTGAAGATATCATTTGCAAATATCTTCTCTCATTCAATAGGGTGCCTTTTTATTGGTTTCCTCTGCTGTGCAAAAGCTTTTTATTTTGGTGTAGTCCCAATAGTTCATTTTTGCTTGTCTCCCTTGCCTTATGATTTTAATATTATTTTTTTCTAAGTAAGTTCCATGTCCAATGTGGGGCTTCAGCTCATGACCATGAAAGCAAGAGTTGAATGCTCTGAGCCAGCCAGGTGCCCCTGCCTTATGTCATCTAGAAAGACTGCTATGGTGGATGTCCAAGAAATTAGTGCCTCTGTTCTTCTAGGTGTTTTACGGTTTCAGATCTCATAATTACGTCTTTGATCTATTCTGAGTTTATTTCTGTGTATGAAGTAAGAAAGTGGTCCAGTTCCATTCTCTTGCATGTAACTGTCTAGTTTTCCCAGCACCATTTACTGAAATGACTGTCTCTCCCCAGAGTATATTCTTGCCTCCTTTGTCATAGATTAAATGACCATATAAACGCAGGTTTATTTCTGGGCTATTTTTGTTCCATTAATCTATATTTCTATTTTTGGGCCACTCCTATACAGTTTAATTACTACAGCTCTGTAGTATAGCTTGAAATCTGGAATTGTTATACCTCCAGCTTTGTTCTTCTTTCTCAAGATTGCTTTGGCTATTCAGGGTCTTTTGTGGTTCCATACAAATTTCAGAATTATTTGTTCTAGTTCTGTTGGTAGTTTGATAGGGATTGCATGGAATCTGTAGATTGCTTTGGGTAATACAGACACTTTAACAATATTAATTCTTCCAACCCATGAGCATAAAATATCCTTCCATTTGGTTGTGTCATCTTTAATTTCTTTCATCAATATTTTATAGTTTCCAGAGTATAGATTTTTCACCTCCTTACATTTATTTCCAAGTATTTTATTCTTTTTGATATAATTGTAAATGGAACCGTTTTCTTAAATTCTCTTTCTGCTACTTCATTATTAGTGTGTAAAAATGCAACTGATTTCTAGGTACTAATTTTGTATCCTGCAACTTTACTGAAGTCATTTATTACTTTTAATAGCTTTTTAGAGATCTTTAGGGCTTTCTTTTTTCTTTTAATTTTTTTAAAAATTTTTTAACATTTATTTTTGAGAGACAGAGAGAGACAGAGAGAGAGAGAGAGAGAGAGAGAGAGAGAGAGAGAGAGAGAGACTGCCAGTGGGGGAGGGGCAGAGAGAGACAGACAGACAGACAGACACAGAATCCGAAGCAGGCCCCAGGCTCTGAGCTGTCAGCACAGTGTCCGACACAGAGCATGAACCACGAGCTGTGAGATCATGACCTGAGCCAAAGTCAGACGCTCAACCCACTAAGCCACCCAAGCGCCCCTTTTTAATGTTTATTTTTGAGAAGGAGAGAGACAGAGTGCAAGCAGGGGAAGGACAGAGAAATAGAGAGGGAGACACAGAATCCCAAGCAGGCTCCAGGCTCTGAGTTGTCAGCACAGAGTCCAACACGGGGCTTGAACCTGGGAACAGCAAGATCATGACCTGAGCCAAAGTCAGACACTTAACCAACTGAGCCACCCTAGGGTTTTCTATGTACAGTATCATGCCATGTACAGATGATGACAATTTAACTTCTTCCTTACCAACATGGATGTCTTTTACTTCTTTTTCTTTTCTGATTGCTGTGTCTACCACTTCTAGTACTATGTTGAATAAACATGGTGACACTGGACATCCTAGTCTTATTCCTGCTCAGTTTTTCACCTTTGACTTTGATGTTAGCTCTGTGTTTTTCATATATAGCTTTTATTATGTTGAGATATGTTCCCTCTAAATCTACTTTTCTGAGAATTTTATCATAAACATAAGAATTTTGTGAAATACTTTTTCCACATCTATTGAAATAAACATCTGATTTTTATTCTTCATTCTGTTAATGTGGTGTATCATACTGACTGATTTTGCAGATACTGAGCCATTCTTGCACCAGAATGAATTCTACTTGATTGTGATGAATGATCTTTTTAATGTACTGTTGAAGGTGATTTGGTAATACCTTGTTGAGAATTTTTATATCTATGTTCAACAAGGATTGCAAATATTTTTAAACTTCTCTGGTCATTTAATGAAACAAGTACGTTGACATCCTCAGTCCCTTTTTAACCATAACTCCACTTACGCTATTTGACCAAGGCCAGAGTAAAATACAGAAGCCAACAAAAAGCACTATCAGAGAGACTGCAACTTCAGAAGGAGGGGTGCGTATGGTAGCTCTGTTTTGCTAAGGGAGGGATGTTTCTCAAAAAATTTTGCCCTGGTTTCCCTGTACAACTGCCCAATCACTTAGGACTTCAGCTATTCGCCCTTCTAACCAGAATTTTTTCCCAGACATAACTCTATCCCCTCTACTTTTCTGATGACAGCAACATAACAAACTGCTCTGTTTTCCAAACAATGCCCTCAAATTTCACAAAATAAAGCATAGTTCACATCATAGAAGCACTTGATTTTTTCAAACTGCACACACTGCTGATTACAATTCCATTAACTCATTCATTAAGCTGACTTGTACAACTGGTGTGAGACACGCACCATGTTCAATATTCAAATTAAAGGAATCATCAACTTTTAAAAAAGTTGTTAGAAAGCAACTAATTTTTGGATAGTTATTAGTGCTTCGGTAAAATACCACTTCTAAGACTTAAAGTACTTAAAAGTTATGTAATTTTAGTATAATTCATATATAATGAGCTTAAACAAGACCAATGATATTAACATAACTTTCAAAAATTCAATGAGTATAAGGTTTCCTAAACATGATTACATATCTTAATTTTGGAGGTAGGAGGCTGTGTCATAGATTCTATTACAAATCTGATAAGATCTATAACCCTTCTGCTCTAGAAAAATGCACAGTTACAAATACACATATACTCTGTATACAGTTTCAGGGGCCCCAGATCATACAACCTAATCTAGAGAATGCTTTCATTAAATTATAGGTGAATGACCCTGAGTTGACTACGTAAACCAAAATTACATATTATATATAGTAACACATGAAAACACATGTTTTTAAAAATTAAAATAGCTTTAAAATAACATCTAGGGGTGCGTGGGTGGCTCAGTCAGCTGAGCATCCAACTTCAGCTCAGCTCATGATCTCACGATTCATTGGTTCGAGCCCCAGTCAGGCTCTGTGCTGGTAGGTCGCAGCCTGGAGCCTACTTCTGATTCTGTGTCTCCCTCTCTCTCTGCCCCTCCCCTGCTCATGCTCTGTCTCTCTCTCTTTAAAAAATAAATAAACTTAAAAAAAAACAAATCTCAACTATATGGTTATAGAAAAAACAGAAACTATGAACCAGAAAATTCAATAGTTGGTCTAACTCCTCAAAAATAACCAGAACTCCTTTTCTTTAAGTTAGAAACTGGTGTGAAGAAATAGGAATCACCCAAGCCTATTATTGTAATGGGCACATAAGGGAAAAGAAAATCTCCTGAATAACCAAAGCAAATTCTAAAAAGCTTTGCAGATCAAAGCCTTTAAATGCTGCTTGAGTTATACTTGGGCTGCTAGAGTAATGCATAAAATACATGAACTTCAATCACTCAGAACTTGTAATTAGTAAAATGTACCTTTATCTAATTCATTTATACTTACACAAGCTACAAGATCTCAAAGTTCTGGGTCCCATAATCATTTTACTCCTTCATTTGTCTGATGGACCATCAACTATTTAAGACATTTTAAACACAAAACATTCTGTATCTTGATCAGGTAATTGAGTTAAAACCAAAAGCCATATATTATTCTTCTGTACTTTTTAGAAAAGTGACCATACATCATAAAGAGTCAGATTTCCATTAACTTGAGGACAAATTCATGAACTTAAAAATGTTACAATACCTGGGGAGCCTGGGGTGGCTGAGTCAGTTAATTATCTGACTCAATTTTGGCTCAGGTCATGATCTCATGGTTGTGCGTTCGAGCCCCACATTGGGCTCTGTGCTGACAGTTCAGAGCCTGCTTGGGATTTTCTCTCTCTCTCTCTCTCTGTGTGCCCCTCCCCAGCTCGCTTGCTCTCTCTTGCTCTCAAAATAAATAAATAAAGTAAAGTTACAATACCTGAAAACTAAATTTAAACTAAAATTAAAATTACTAAATAATCTTAGCTATCTGACTTCCTCTGGGTATCTTGAATTCTTCTGAAATTACCTGAAGACAGCAACTAAGGCACTGAAACACTTGTGTAATGAGAGTAAATGGCCGGAGGAGACACAATGAAAAAAGGGGGAGACACCAACTGAAAGACTGTAATCTGGAGGACATCTGTATGCAGAAAATGTAGTATACCCTTCAGAAGCTCCTAATGGCACTGCTTTATTGCAGAATCATATTCACATATGTAACAAGCAACTCACAAAAAAGAGGGGACAGGAAACACAGTCAACAGACTTTTATTAAGCATAAAATGATTATTTCCCAAACTTCTGTAATTCACATGCCACTTTTACAGTTTGCTATTATATCTGAGTATCCTATGACTTACATTTTTAAAATCAGCTTACAAAATGATACATCACTGAGTCCTCTAAAAACAGACAATACCTTGTCCGTATTTTACTCTTTAATTCAATGCAAGAGCTATACGGGGATATGCCTATGAGTCCTGAAGAATCCAGCTAACTTTTACCTCTTGTAATATTAACACTCAAGGAAGAGCTACCTCTAATTTTATACACTCTATCCTGTTTCCCAAAAATTAAACTAGTTTTTACATAGTTTAATGAGACAGCTACATTTCCAAAACAAGAGAAACAGATCCAGCTTAATAAAAGCCTAGAAATGAAAACAAGGTGTAAGCATATCTTCTTCTAATCAGGATACTTCGAAAATAGCTCAATTAACTTACTACTTAATTTAACTAACATCACAGGGCAAAAGCACTATTTTAACTAATTTACTTAAAATTCAAGCTTAGTTAAATTAGCACTTTTGGGTTGTCATGCAGTTCCATAAAGAATAGATTCAACATATGAGGTTTTTAGCATTTCAAAGTGCCCGACAACAATTGACTATTTCATTCAAATAAAGAACTTTCTTTACCACTTCTAAAAACGTGTAATGGGTCCTATGATACTTACGCTGCATAAGCTTTTGCTATCCTCATGAACATAACTTCATCACCTCCTTTATCTGGATGATATTTAAGTGACAGCAAACGATACTGTTTCTTAATTTCTGCTACCGTTGCCCCCTGAAAGGAAAGCTTTGTTTTAGTAAAACTAAGCACAATGCTGTAAAAACATAATTCATCCCATTTTGAACTTAAAATATAAACTATTCAATATTTTCAGAGGGGCTCCTGGGTGACTCGATTGGTTAAGTGTCCAACTTCGGCTCAGGTCATGATCTCGTAGTTTGTGGGTTCAAGCGCCACATCAGGCTCTGTGCTGACAGCTCAGAGCCTGGAGGCTGCTTCGAATTCTGTGTCTCCCTCTCTCTCTGCCCCTCCCCAACTTGTTCTCTCTCTCTCTCTCTCAAAAATACTAAAAAAATTTTTTTGAATATTTTCAGAAAGAGAAAGTGTTTTCATCCTATATACTTGTCCCTTAAATTTCATCCCATGTATTTTTAATAAAAATACACTTACTTTGTCCAATATATTTATTTTATTGAGCACCTACATGTTGTGCAGCACACTAGGCACCAATGATTTAAAACTACATAATGCCACATTGAAATAAAAGGACAGTAACATTTAAATATCAAAGAATGATCACAGTAAATTAAGTCTCTCTGAAGAAACCCTCAAATCAAAGATTAACTTCCCTTCTAAGAAATAATCTGAAGAAAATCTGGTTTCATCTGCTTATCAATATTTTAATATTAAATAAATACTTAAGAAGGTTACCTTAGCTGTTTCCTAATTAGACTCAATTTCTATTAATAAACTTTTCATATTAATTTGTATGGCATTAAGTTGCCCACAAATCTTTTATTAGTCTTAAAGCAAATTTTGCTTCTCCAAAACAGAAAACTAGGTATGTTTCATATTTATATTATATTATATGAACCTCTGGATCAAGCCATCTACTGAGCAAATACTAGAAGTAAAAAAAGTGGTTTGGGGGAAAAGTAGAAAGAGCACTAGATTCAGCTTGGCTACTAAGAAGTTATGGCACTCCAGGCAAGACACAATTTTTCAGGCCTTGTTTTCTCCATTGGGAAAAAAGGCTAGAGGATCTCTAGCATTCATTTCAGTTCTAACTTTCCTCTGATATATCTAAAAGACCAATTTTCTATTGGGATCCATCAATCAAGTTCAATCAGGAAATCACCTAAAGAGTATATCCAAGGTTACAATGAAACCAGTTCTTTGTAAGACACAAAGACTTAAACACACTGCCTTAGTGTCATCTAACAAAGGGTCATAAGATTTTTATCATTCAACCAACATAAATGAACTCCTGGTTTTAACTTTGCATTAAACCAATCCTACACAAGTCTTTAAAAAATATACTAATTTCTCATCTCACTTAAAATATTCTTACATTTTAGCAATTACAAACCAAGACTTACTAGAATGGCAATCAACATTTGTAGCTTAAAAAACATATATACATTAGAATAATAGATTAAATATCCAAAGTCTCATTTCTTTAGGCACAACCCAATTTCTTTTAGAATTTAGACTTACAGTATTTTCATGAGATCAATAAACTAATGTGCATTATATAAAAATACTACTTACAGGATCCAAATTTAATACTTCATAAGGATTGTATTCTTGATATTCTCGGTCTGTTTTGGAAACTTTGTATACAAGGAATAAGAACAATGCCCATCCTGCAAGCAGAACTATTTTCCTGTTTAGGAAAAAGATAAGTAAAGTATAAATAAATACATCTATATGGTTTTCCTTTAAGAGTCTATAAAGACATTATGGCAGATCAAGGCAATAAAACAATCTAAAGTGTATACATCGTTATGCTACTGAGTCAATTCTACAATCTCTAGGTTGTAAACTCCTGTTACAGCCAGAACAGTGTCTTTTTTACCTATGAATTCTCTAGAATCTAATATAGTCTTGCATCTAGAGTCTTGCATGTGATATTCCCTCAATTACTATTTGCAGAATTTTATGTGTAGAACTTAATTCAACTTACTAACCTATTGGTCTCATTATATTAGATCAAAATATATCAATACTAAGTATTCAGTAAACCATGTAATGTAAAAAAAGAGCTGCTCTTACCCTTGCAATTACACTTTTACTATGATAAACTACAAAAAATGGGTCAATTATGCAATGATGAAGGAATAGCCTTGTTTATAACAGTAAAACTTCAGAAACAAACTCAATGTCCATTTATATAGAACTAATTAAATAAACCATTTATAGGAGATTAATTAAATAAACCAAGACACAACCAAAAATTAGCCAACACAGATATAGAAAGATGCACATACAGGTTAAAAAAGGATATAAAGGAACATATGGTTTGGAAAAAACCTAATTTCTCCTCTCCAATATGTTTTATTTAGTAAAAATATTTAAAAGACTGATATTAGCAGTGTTGGAGAGGCTAAAGAAAAAAGGAAGACTCATACACTCTAAACTCTGAAAAAATATCTGGCAATACGGTCAAAAACCCTAAAGTACACACCCTTTTATTTATTTTTTTTTTCAACGTTTTTTTTATTTATTTTTGGGACAGAGAGAGACAGAGCGTGAACGGGGGAGGGGCAGAGAGAGAGGGAGACACAGAATCGGAAACAGGCTCCAGGCTCCGAGCCATCAGCCCAGAGCCCGACGCGGGGCTCGAACTCACGGACCGTGAGATCGTGACCTGGCTGAAGTCGGACGCTTAACCGACTGCGCCACCCAGGCGCCCCAAGTACACACCCTTTTAACAATCTACCTCAAGAAATTTAGAAGGAAATAAACTAGAATTAAGTATACAAAGGATAAAAAACTGGTCACAGATATAAATAACAGCAGAAAACAAACACAGAGATGTCCATCAATAGAGTAGTAGACAAATAAATTAACAGTATATTCATAAAGTGAAATATCATCTAGGCAATAAAGACAGTATTTGCTGTGGAAGATTATCTATTGTTAACTTTTTAAAAGAGGGACTCCTGGGTGGCTCAGTCAGTTAAGCGCAGGCTCTTGGTTTTGGCTCAGGTCAGTCTCACAGTTTTGTGGGTTCAAGCCCCATGTTGGGCTTTGTGCTGACAGTGTGGAGTTTGCTTGGGATTCTCTCTTTCCCTCTTTCTCTGCCCCTCCCCCACTTGCACTGTCTCTGTCTCTCTCAAAAAAATTAAACTCAAAGAAAATTTTTTTAATTAAAAAAAAGAAAAACAGCTTTCAAAAATATATGTATTATATAATGCTATTTTTACAGATAAAAGTTTATTATAAATAAAAATATAGATAGTAAATCATCTTAATAGTGGCTATCTTTAAGTGATGAAACTGAACAATTTTTATTTTTTTATGCCCTTTACATCAATTTGTTATGCTGAGTAGGAACTGTTAAACACATAAAATGAATCATAGGAAACCTAACCAAACAAAATTGGAGTGACCCGTTTTCAAAGACAGAAAACATTCCATGTGTTTAAGCTCACTTGGTAGAAATCTAGCTTAAATATGTTTATTTGGAATGAGACTCTATGATCAAGTTCCAACCTACCTAATGACCTTTATCACCCTTATTTAAAACAAACACAAAAAACCCATCTCCCCAAGCTCCCTAAGCTTTTCCCACCATCATGCTTTTGCTCTTGAATCTTTCTACTTAGAGTTCCCATTCCCCATCTCTGCCTATCCAAACACTATTCATCCTTCCAGACTCATACCTCAAAGCAAGCCTTACCTTTGCCAAGGTCATCAATGGAGAAACAGCCAAAAAGAAGCAAAAGAAGTAAAACCATGTCTCTCCCCCTCGAACTCACTGCAAGCTCCTTGAGCTGTGGACAGTATCTCACTCAGTTTTGACTAACCCCAGAGTAGCTTAAACACAGTTGGCATTCAGATGCAAATTTCTTTCTATCTGGCCAAAATAACGTTCCAATTCTTATTAAGGGCAAAATACAGTACTGCAAACGGCTTTCCATACTACCTAAACACCCAAAGACAAAGAGGATGCCGTAACTGGAACACTCCCACCTAGCTATGTAGGGAGAGGTAATTAAGAACATAGGCTCTGAAATAAAACTACCTGAGGTCAAATCCCAGCTTCACTACTTATTAACTTAGAGATCTTGGAAAGTCGCTTTCTCCTTTACAACTCGGTTTCCAATTTTTAGGGTAGATTTAATAATTAAATGAGATTAGGTACGTAAAGCACCTAGAAGGTGCCTCACTGATAGCAAACAATCGATTCCTGTTAGCTGTTCTTAGTATCTCTGACCCAAATCTCAGCTCTGACCTCACTCAGAGAAGCCTTCTCTGTCTCAAGCCAGAGTTGAGAGCCCTTCCTCTGCTCTTTCATGGCACCCACCTCACAGACCTTATTATTATCATTACCTGTTTACTTGTATTTCTCACAACTGTTAAGTTGTTGAACCACATCTATTTGTTAATCACAATATATCAGCTCTTGGTACAACACCTGATACATACATAATAGGCATACAATAACTACTTATTGAATGAATAATGAAAATAATTTAAACAGTAATTTTCTAAAAATAAATGTTTATTCATTTTTGAGATAGAGTGTGAGCGAGGGAGGGGCAGAGAGGGGGACAGAGGATCTGAAGTGGGCTCTGTGCTGACAGCAGCAAGCTCAATGCGGGCTCAAACTCATGAACCATGAGATCATGACCTGAGCTGAAGTTGGACACTACCAACTGAGGCAACCAAGTGTCCCTAAACAGTAATTTTTAATTCAAACCCAAAGTTCGCTATACCTTCAATTTGCTAAAAAACACTTGAAAACCTACTTTATTCCCACACAAGTTAATAATTCCACATTTCGTTCTGCCAACTCCCCCAAAAGGCTAAGAAAGCTCAGAAAACAACGATAAAAGTAAAATTGAAAACCACCAAAAACAAACAAACAAACAAGATTTAAAAGCAAACAAAGGTAGAAGGAAAATGAAAACACCTAGGATATGCTACACCCCATGATAGCTTTACATGTAGCACCTGGCTCTCTGAGACAAAATATAAAGGGAAGAGAAGACAACCTCATAACAGAATCCTTCAGAGGCTGATGAAAACTATAACCACCAATAAAGCCAGGTTTTCATTTCCTAAAAACCAAGCAAAGGTGGAAACATAATGGATTTCATCATGATCCCCACCCAATTTTTAAAAAACATTATTTAGGTCCTGTGAAAAGATAAGCATTTTTCCCTACATATAGGGTCAGTGATCAACTTGTGAAGTCTCGTGTTTTTCTTTAAGCATATTTTAAAGGTCATTTTGGAACCAACTTCCACAAATTAGAGCATTACACAATGACTGCTTAATTCTGAAAGAATGCTTTAAGGTTATGGAGCAAAAAGGTTTTGATGGTTTCTGACCTTACCTAAAATTGTTACCAGTTATCTATTTAATTCTTCCTTACTTATAAACATCCCTTAATCTGTACTTTCATTTAAGTAAATCAGTTTGCTAATCACTGAAGAGAACTTTACACAATTGGGCTTTTTCCTTGAAAACTGAAGTTCAGATACTGACATAGTGTTGACCAAAGCCCAGAAAAGAAGAGATTGGGAGGGCAAAAAAAAATTTGCCTTGCTGCCTCATAAAACTATGAGAAGCAAAGGCAGAGTCAACAGTGAACATAAAACTACTCTTGTAAACACTAACTTTGAGTTTTAGTTTTGCATCGTTGAAGAACTCTTAACACCAAAGCTAAGATTTCCCTTCCTCTGTAAAGGAACTAAACTAGGCAAAGTCAAACCTTACAAAGAAAAACTATTTAAAACCCTTGAAGTTAGAGATGTTGAAAATTATCATCATCATTTAAACCAAGATCAAAAAAATACATGGTTCTACTTTTACTAATTTCCTCTGCTAGTTCTTCCCCTCCTATCTACTGGATAGACAGATATAAGTAATTCACAAGATACAGTCCTCCTATAATGGCAACTCTTTCATCACCTATCAGATTCATCTACTACCTCAAAACTGACAACTCAGGGTGAAGGTCCAAAGCCTAGTCTCTAAACCAGCAGACCCCAGGCCCCCTTGCCTCACAAAATCAAACACGCATGCTCTAATTAAAAATTCTAATGGCTTGTTTAATCAGATTGGCGTGCAAAAATAAAGATTGGCGTGCAAAATATAAAAATAGGTCCCCGTTCCACAGCTTCTAGCTCCAGGAACGCTTCTAGCTCTCCAGGAGCGAAGAGAACCTCTTAGTCTCAGGTTCTTCATCTCAGAAAACAGCAAAAACATCTACTTTGAAGTTAATGATAAAATTAGGAGATAACACATAAAGCCTTAGCACATCTGGCATACAGTGTGTGCTCAATAAACCTTAATTATCACTATGAAATGCAAACTTGATCATGTCACCTCCCTGTTTTTGATAATCTTTTAAAGATTCCCCCATAATCTTTAAGGCAAAATTCAAATCCTGGCAAGATGCACAAGGTCTTCCTTCAAGATTTGACTTCCCTTTCTCCCACCCTCCCTCAAGTCAGAAGTACATTGTCTCAGGGTGCCTTGGGTGGCTCAGTTGGTTAAGCGTCCGACTTCGGCTCAGGTCATGATCTCATGGTTCATGGGTTTGAGCCCGTCAGGCTTTGTGCTGACGGCTGGGGCCTGGAGCCTGCTTCTGATTCTGTGTCTGCCTCTCTCTCTGACCCTCCCCTGCTCATGCTCTGTCTCTTGAAAGTAAATAAACATTAAAAAAAAAAAGTACATTCTCTCTCCTAAATCATTCTGTTCAGACAGCTCTCAAACTCACATCTTACCCCTACTAAGGCTACAATTTCTTTAAACATATGTCTTATTCATCATTACACCCATATTTTATATGATACCTAGCAAAGAATAAGAAGTATTTTTTTAATTGAAACCAATTACTTACTTTACAGTAGGAATAATATTTGGCTGGGGTTTTAATAACCGTAAACGATACCACATACATCTTCCATATACTTTTCTGATATTCTTTAATCGAATTTGCTCTGTCAAAACAATAAATAAATAAGATGATAAGTTGAAGCATTTTTCACTGTGAAGACAAAACCAGTTAATAACATACTAACCTTCATTACCATGCTAAATTTTGTTGGAACATCGAAGTACTACCTTCTCAAATAACCTTTAAGAAAAATTCACAATATAGGTTAATTTTTCTGCCACTCCAAACAAATGATCTATCTGGAAAATTTTGTTCAACTACCAGGCAACCATTTGCATATGAGACTTAAATAACTTCTAATCAAAAAACGCAAAAAAATGACTTGAATCCAAAATACTTAGCCACATAATCAGTAATTTCTGAGAAATGCTTTCTTCCTTTCCCTTCTGCTATAGGAGATACAGAAAGTATAAAATAGTTGAAACATGCAGCTTATTAAGGAAGCTAAGCGGAAATGGTATTATTCAATCATGAAAATGTTAAATTAGAAAAGTCACCCAAACCCATAAGAAGTTAAAATAGGTTCATATAAGAGTTATGAAAGGCATTATTTTAGTCCTCAGAAAAAAATCTGCAATTCAACTAAAAAGGAATTAAACCAAGCCAAAATATCATATATTGTTTTACTAATAAACTCACTACCAATCACTTGAATAAGTCTCCCAAGTTAAAAAAAAAAAAAAAAAGTTATAAAATAAAAATGTACCAAAAAAAAAAAATAAAATAAAATTTAATTTAATTTAATTTTTAAAAAATGTACCTCTTAGCAAAGATGGCATGCAGAAAGCAAAGGAAAAAAAACCCTGCCCCTCCCAAAGCCAAAGCCAAAACAAAGGCTTGGAAGGCCAAGAAGGCAGTGCTGAAAGGCAACCACAGCCACAAAAAAAAAAAAAAAAAAAAAAGATCTGCATGTTACCCACCTTCTGGTGGCCCAAGACACTCCAAAGGCAGCCCAAATATTTTCTCTGGAAGAGCAACAAGCTTGACCACTATGCCATCATCAAGTTCCCCCTGAGCAATGAGTCAGCCATGAAGAAGATAGAAGACAACAATACTTGTGTTCATTATGGATGTCAAGGCCAACAAGCACCAGATCAGACAGATTATGAAGAAGCTCTATGATATTGACAAGGGCCATGGTCAACTCCCTGATCAGGCGTGATTAAGAAGGCATATGGTCCACTGGCTCCTGACTATAATGCTTTGGATGTTGCCAACAAAAATGAGATCATCTAAATAGAGTCTAGCTGGCTAATACTAAATATAAATTTTTTCACAATACTAAAAAAACTACAAAATCACAGTCCTTAAATGAGATGTTAGATAAGTAAAAGAACTTTGCCTATAACAGAATGCTCCAAAGCCACCATGTAAGAAGTCTAACTACCCTGTTACCACCATACTTTGAGGAAAGCATCCACATGGAGAGCTAGGTGACAGGAGGTAGCAGAACCAACCAGGTGTGGTGAAGAGGGATCCATAGAGGGAAAGGGGTGGTGACAGAAAAGGAGACTGGTAACATACAGGGGGATTGATAAAATAAGTTAATACACAAAGGATAACTGGACTCAGAAGGGAGTTATATATATGAGAAAATAATAAGAATGAATCCTGTGGTACTGAATTGGAATTGAAGATATTGCTATAAACTAATATATTTTAATAAAGGATTACAGACGTAGACTTATATACATACACATATAGGCACTGTCTATTAAGTGAGCCTAGGAACAGTGTGTGAGACCAATAGCAGTAAGCACACTAGTACCCAGATCTAGTTTCTAAATACCATTCTCCACTAATAAGAACAAGGGATTCAAGTGCCTTCCCACAAATTACAAAAGGGAAAAAATAATTTTACAGTGGCAAAGTATGGTAGGCTGAATAATTGCCACCCAAGAAGTTCAGATCCTAATAGCCAGGACCAGTGACTACATTATCTTACATGGCAAAAAAGACTCTACAGATCCAATTAAATTAAAGATCTTGAGAGAGAAGAGTATTCTATGTTATCTGGATGGATACAATATAGTCACAAGGGTCCTTATAAGGAGGAAGCAGGAGGGTCAAAGACAAAGAAGGTGATATGACAACAGGAGCAGATGGTGGAGTGATATCCTCTGAACATGGAAGGAGGAATCATAAGCCAAGGAGCCCAGGCTATCTCTAGAAGCTGGAAAAGGCAAGGAAATAGACTCTAACCAAGAGCCTCCAGGAAGAACCAGCTCTACGAACACCATGACTAGCCTAGTGAAATTGATTTTGGACTTCCAGCCTCCTGAACTGTAAGAGAATAAATTTACATTGCAATAATGTAATAAGCCATTAAGACTGTGGGAATTTGTTACAGCACCAATAAGAAACTAATACAGAAAGCCTGGCAGACATTATCTTAATCAGGTGCTCAGTAAACATTACCAGCAACGGGACAAAATGCAATCATATGCCATCTGATAGAACATAATAAGAGGAACACAGAATCACTTTTGTGAAATTCCTGCCTAAGATATAAATCTGAATCTAATCATGATTAAACACCAGCCAAATCCAGAGCCATCCTATAAAATAACTGACCTGTAATTTTGGAAGTCAAAAAGCTGAAGAACTGTACCAGACTAAAGGAGATTAAAGAAACATGTCAACTAAATGTCATGTGTGATTCTGAGCTGGATCTTTTGCTATAAACAACTTCACTGACACAAGTGACAAAACTTAAATGGGGTCTGAGAATGAAATGGTAGTAATATTAATTTTCTGATTTTCATGGTTATTTTCAAGACACTTGAAAATACCACTGGTGATTTTTTAATCTGTATTTCATTAAATTAAGCCTCCACAGTCTCCCATTTTCTATAAAACCAAGGAAATGTTTGATAAGGTTATAAGAACAATGCAGAAGTCTCTTTATTAGCCAGCTTGATCTATTAAAAGGAATGACATTCTCCCAATGTCTCTAGCCAAAAAAAGTACACACGATTTTCAGTTACGTAGTTTTGCACAATGTATATGTACCTTGTACGCCTCACTCTTCCAATCCAAAAATTAAATCTTAACCTTTTAGGAGAATACAGAAGTCAATCAATAAGTACTACAAGCTATGGTTTACACAGGAAGACACTGGCATTTAGATTTCCAGCACAATTAAACATTCATAGCACACATTCCAAATCTCTGTATGAATGATCTCAAGTAAAAGTAACTACCACAAGTGAGGTCTTTCCAGGTAGTTTTTTAAAAGACACTTAGAATTTGTTTTTAAGTTCATTTATAAATTACTAGTGTTATAGCTAGTAAAAATTATGTTAGTAATACCATTTACTTATGATATAGTTTTTAAAGAAATCAATACACATTTACAGAAAAGGGAAATTACAAAGTCATAAAACAATTCTGTGACTTAAACTATATAACAACATATTATGACTGCTCTCGGCAGGTGAACATAAAGTTTTTATGTCCGTGGGAATAGTACAGGTTTGGGAGAAGGTTAATATGGCTGCGCTTCATAAGCTATATAATGCCTTTTGCTAAAATAGTCACATCCATCTGCCCATGCCAGTATGATCTGCCAAGGTGTAGTATAACTGAGTGAACTCTTAGCACCATATTCCTGGAACCCAAAGAGCTGAAAGAACATTAGCCAGATCTTAAATCTTCAAACCTGTTTGCTTCATTACCGCAAAAGAATTTGTAAAACTCATGTACCTACTTGTAGGTTTCTCATCTGGCATCTCAAATTTTTCACCAGAAGTCTGAAGAGGTACAAAAGATGTCATTTCTGATATGAGTTGACATTTTAAAATAAAATAGTTCCATCACTTTTTTTTTTTTTTAATATTTTTTTTTTTCAACGTTTATTTATTTTTGGGACAGAGAGAGACAGAGCATGAACGGGGGAGGGGCAGAGAGAGAGGGAGACACAGAATCGGAAACAGGCTCCAGGCTCTGAGCCATCAGCCCAGAGCCCGACGCGGGGCTCGAACCCACGGACCGCGAGATCGTGACCTGGCTGAAGTCGGACGCTTAACCGACTGCGCCACCCAGGCGCCCCATAAAATAGTTCCATCACTTTTAAACACACCAATTAAACCTAAAAACCACAGCAATTTCATACATTTACCATTTACAAAATTTCCCTTTACAAAACTTCATGAACAAGCCAGCCCTTCATTTTATTTCCCCCACATAATTTTATCCTAATGTAATATATTTTCATCCTGTCATTTCTTATAATATTGACACATACCTCTAAAAATTAATTTTTTTATTCCCTGTGACTAATGTTTTTCCCAACTTTTTGAAAAATTTCAAACCTTCAAAAAAGTTGAAAGATATCACAATGAAAACATCCTTCATCTAAATTCACCAAATGTTAACATTTTGCAACTCTTGGCGTTACCTCTAGTTCCCTCTTTCCCCTCCCACTTTTTTTTCTAAGTTTATTATTTATTGGGGGTGGGGGGAGAGAAAACATGTGCATGTACAAGTTGGGGGAGGGGCAGAGAAAGAGGGAGAGAGGCAATCCCAAGCAGACTCCCGCTGTCAGCACAGAGCCAAGTTTGGGGGCTTGATTTCAGGAACAGTGAGTTCATGACCTCAGCTGAAATCAAGAGTAAGATGCTTAACGGACAGAGCCATGCAGCCCCCTCACCATTCTTTTTTATCTGAACTATCTTCCAGTAAACTACAGATATCAAGATGCTTCACCTATAAATCCTTTAGCACATACTGCCAAAAAAAATCAGTATGTTTATCATACTCAGGTTTAACATCTATAAGCTTTTATATGTTAAAATTCGATGCTACGTTTTTTGGTATGAAGACAACATAAATACTATAAATTGATAAATCACTAAAATTTGAGTAAAGTATCTGCTATGCTTTCTTTCACTTATAAGTTTGTAAATATCCCATAGGTTCAAAAAAAGTTAAAACTCTAAATACTAAAACTTATTTTTAAAATAAAGGCACACTGTTGGCAATATGACACAGTTTTAGACAAAAGAGCTTTAGACAAAAGAGGATTGACTAAACACTACTCAC